CTGAGCTACTTCTCTGTTCAAAAGTCAAGTCACCAAAACTTAAAGTAGAACTTACTCAAGCTATTCTTATTTCTGTTAATGAAGAGACAATAATGATTTGGGGCATCAAAAACACTCTGGCAGCCTCTGAGTTAGTTGCACTGGCGACCCCATCACGCCTTATTCAGTAACCATATCATCATGCTTTGAAACACTAGACTGTTTCAACTAATAGTTTTGTTACACCAACTCAGCTGTTAAAGCAGTCAGTAAAGCATCCTTAAAAGCCTGTCTGTAAAGATTAAAACGTACAACAATCTTCAACACTGATCTCTTTTACATTTATTCAAAATCGCCTCACTTAGATAATCCACAGACTCTGCTACTGTAGCCATCATTTCAACCTGAAAAAAAGCTACTAGCACTGACCTTGCTACTAGTTATTTGCTACCACAGTACAAAACAGGACACACCACTCAATAATGGCAAGCTGAAACATCCCCCCACCCAGCTAACTGCCTCTCAACCCTAGTCTTCGTCCCATGACATATACTTAAAACACAAAACCCACTTGCGTCATTTAAGTTCCAACTATGCTGTTGTTCACCTAGACAGGAAAGTGACACAAGGTCTTAATCCGGTTCTGCACAAAATAACATAAAAGAGCAAGCCAACTAGCCCACAAGTAGACCGAGTTGCTTATCCCTGCAGGGAAAGTTAATCTAGAGAAACCCCTCTACTATCGATACATCCCAAAATAACCCGACAGCAAGTCAACCATGCAGCCCAAGCAACAACTGCCTCACACAAGGGCATTCTACAGAACACGTCAAATTTACCATTACTCCAATAACAGACCCAGGCCAAATAGAAACAAAAGCAACCACCAACAGGTGGTGATCTCCCTCCAAACCTGCCTGCAACTTAGTCCTTAGTAGTTGGTATTAGCACCCACTTTGTTATAAGGGACTCTAGCGTGCGACAAAAGAGGGATTCTATACAAGTAGGATATGCATTACCTATTTTATTTACAGGAGATGGAAACAAAAAGAAGAGTAAATTAGTGCTGCAATATATGCTTTGTTGGGTGACTATAGGAGCTGAAGTGCGTCAGTCAGAGCGCCTCCTTACCATGTGAGGACAGAGAAAGAAACAAGGTTGGCTCTTCATATACACTGAGTCACAAACAGCCCTTGATGACAGCTAGCTGGCAAGAATTCATATTTTCCACCCATGAGTCACATGACCCAACAAATCAGACTAAGGGTCATGTGCTGTAAATGGCACTTGCTGAGCACTGCATACCTTTGAAAATAGTTTCTCATCTTCCTCTTCTGTACTCATTCTTTCTCCATCTCTCAGGCTTGCACATTGTTTGTTTGCTCACCCAAGGAAATACTTTTAGCTAGCTGACACACTTTATGTCAAACTAAACAGAAACGTTTTTGTGTATTTGATTTGGATTTGTTGAGCTACTTGGAAAGAATTTGAAATTGCATTTGAAACCTCCTACTTTAAAAACAATTACTTTTTATGCTCACTGTCTTCTTTAGTGATGAAACATCATCACATGTGCACCTTGAACGCATCACAGGGATGAGAAGAAAATAGGCATGTTTTGAGAGTAAATAACAACCTGTGGGATGTCTTTATTTTCCTACTACTGAGCAAGTATATGCATGCCATCATATATTATCTAAGAGTAATATTAACAAAGAGTTCACTGTACTCAAATGGCCTCCATAGTCATTAGATCAGTCCAATAGGGCAGCTTTGAGATTTGCATTATGCAGATTTTCCTCATGGAAAAAGGTCTGCAGTAACTGTGTGATGCTATCGTGTCAATATGGGTCAAAATGTCTGAGGAAAATTTCCAGCACATTGTTGAATCTATAGAGCCATAACGAAGCCAAAACTACTAGCAAGGTATAACTAATAAAGTGACCAGCGTGTGTAGTGTCTAGTCTATGTCAACACTATGTTCAGAAAACAATATATACTGATCAGCCAATCAATCAGCCAAATCTTTATTTCGAACATGTAAGTAACAAGTGTTAATACATACAAAAACAAATAAACACAAAATAGCTGGAAGCCTTTCTACTCACAAGGAAAACCAAAAACCAAAAAGCTGACCATTTCCCGTTCAAAAAGGAGCAAGAGGAAGCAAATACTTCTTACTGATAAGATATAAGTAAATATTTGAAAAAACCAAACAAACAAACCATTTAAGAGCTCTAGCCCCCTCTTCTGGATTTTCTTTTTGACCCATCCATACAGGGGTTTTTTTTTCATGTGATTTCGCTTTTATTCTTATAAATAACAGTTTTTGATATACTGCAAATGTTAACTTAGCTGGCTACTCCAATGCACCCAATTTATCTATGTGTTTAACAGCTGAGGAGCTGTGGTAAATATGCATGAACGCCTTGCTGTGAAACTCTGCCATGTTATTATGATAAACCGCTACCAGGAATTTAGATTTACTTGTGATTGTGTTTTGTAAGGATGTCCTGATTTGCAACTTCAAATGATGTTGAGAGTCAAGGCGTGGTACAAATGATCTCACCTACATTATAACACAGACTATATAAAATGTATACTTCAGGTCCTGAGAAGTGAAGCAAATGCAGAAGTGCCTCAAACCCGCATTGTTTTCTAAGGTTACCAGCAGGTGACTCTTATGACTTAAGGTTAGGTGCTGTGGTCTATAAACCTCTGTGAACACTTTTACAGAGGTATACGGTGACTTAAATGACCATGATTTGAAATGTAAAAATCAAAAACTTAAAAAAATGGGTGGCCTATAAAGGGACATGTGATAAGTATGTTAAAGTCACACTGCAAAAAACATTAATTTGGTAAATCCTGGTCCCCACTAGAGTCAAACAGGATGATATATTGACAAGCAGCCTATGAGTACCGGGTGATTTCTTGGTTAGTTCAATTCTTGCCACATTCAGTTTCATTAAGTTTCAAATTACCAAGTTGGTAAGGGCAAAAACTTTACACTTGAAGCTTCTCAACACAACGCCCCAATGGACAAAGCAAGAGTAGCTCTACCTTTCATTTACAGTCTATGGATTATACACCATGGCTATCACTTGTGAAGTACCCAAAATCCCTTTATGTCCTCACTTTAGTAAAGAATACTATTTCATTTTCAAGGATCATTTCAGACATGGCTAATTTTAAATGTGCGGCGTGAGAAAGCCTCTAAAATCACCATCATAACAAAAGTAAACAGTGATATGCTGATGATAGATCAGTTTTTGATGTGTCTGTAAGGTTTTGACAGCATCATTGGTTGAGGCTGTCAAAACCTGACAGCCATAGCCTTATTGGTTGAGACCCAACCTGCCAATCGGCCTTTTATATTGTGAGCTACATTGGCTGTCAAAAAAGTAATACTCACATAGAGTATTTTGATTGGTCCTTTGTCTTGTGAAGATGTCCAGAAGAAACTAATCCGTGAGTCATCCATATTTCCCCTAATAGGGACTATAACAGAAGAAAAGCTGTAAGGATAATCATCAACCAGTTGAAAATGGTTTGAAGTTTGAGTTTATATTTACAGGGTACTTTTTTTTTTTTTTAAAGGGTGGGGGGTGATTGCTTTGGGAGTGTCATACTGATGATGAAGTTCATAAAGACTTGAGGATGATTATTGGTTCATAAATGGATCGTTTGGATATTAATTACTTCCCACTGGTCTCTGAAAAGTTACTATTTACTATTCTAAGAGTGTAGGTTATAATTAATGTCAAGAGAGCGATCAATAATATTAAAAAAGGTCTCATCAATTATGGATGCTTGTTGCCAATTGCTGTGTAAAGGATGCTGTCAGGAATGGAAAGCTAATGGTTACCAAGGCAACATAATCTGTGGGAGGTACAGGGTAAATAAGTTTATTTAAGGAGTGTTTTTTTTCAGTCCACAACTGGAATATTAATTTTATATAAGATTCTTAAAACCAGCTATTCAGGACCCAGTTAACATCTGCGTCACTTCACATCTCTTGCTGTTTTTTGAGGTACTAGTGCAGTTTCAGTTTAGAAAGTATATAGAGCTGCAGGAATGTTCCCTATTAAAGAGACAAAATTGCTGCGGTTGCTATACATGCAGTCTTTTATGTGTCTTTCAGCTAACATTGCAAACATTACAAAGTTTTTTAGTGATTGCCAAAGTCAGTATAATTTTTGCTTCATGCTGCTGGAATGTGATCATTAGATCCTTTTCACTGTATTCACATGCATATTAAATTAACCATTAATGAGGTATGGAGAGCTAGCCAGGCAGGGCTTGATGACGTGGCCTCTGGGTTATTACAGACATTTTTTAGTCTTTTCAGATCAATTTTAATGAGCAGCAAAATTCATATTAAAAAAAAAACAGAGTGTGGTTTGATGTCTCATGCAAGAAAAAACCCAGGAAGCTTTTAACCCATCGTCCCTATGCAACATAAAATTGTTAAAGATTAGCATTAGTATTGTAGTGCTTGCCTAGCCATTCGGATTGTTAAAGCATTTTCTCCACTTTTACCTTTCTGGTTGTAGATCGAGGAGGAAATTATCTGTAATAGAACACAGCATCAAGCCATATTCTCTGATGCTTTGCCGTCTACAACATTTGATTTCACAAGCTCAAATGGTGATCCACAAAGGGAAAAGTCAGAGTATGTTATGTGCAAGATGGCTGAATAATGGTTTAAGTCATCAACGGTTCAACAGCTAGTGCTACTGTGAGAAAGCAGACAACCTGTGTTTTTCAGATATGAAAATATGAAAAGATCTTTAAAAAAAAGCAAAAAAAAAAAATGTGCACGTACAGGCCCGGTTGGACACTCAGACATCCTCTCGACTCTAACACTTCTGTAACTGTCATCGTGTGTTACTGACGCTTTACTTTGAATAATGACGGCACGCCGAGTCTAAATGAGGAAAATAAGAGACATCGCACGCTGCAAAAGCCTGCGGGTGCTGTAGGACTCCACCTTGTTGTACTCACCCACTTCCTCTTAACCGCCTGAAGGCAGGAAGAGAGAAGAGACAGAAGGGGAAGAGAGGCAAAGGGGGATGGGCTTATTGCTTTCATTTAACGTTAACAAAATGCAGAAATGAGAAGTTAAGGTGGACGGACAAACTAGGAGATTTCTAAAGACAAAAGTATAAAGTAGGTAAAGGATTACACACAATCATGGCTCCTTGGATGAAAACCACAAGAGAGCGGTATGGTGTAGGTAAGTCAACATGTGCTTGTTTGTATGTATCTTTGTGTGAGATGTGCAGGCACATCCAGTTTTTATGGTGCCTTTCTGTTACGGTATGATGCTAGCCTATACAGCGAATGAATAGAAATGAGAAAAATAGATTCCATCACTTCCTGCTTGGCGGATGTAGGCAGGTGCCAAAGGCCTCAAAGAGCTTTAGGAGGTAGACATCAGCTTTAATCCCTCCAAAGAACTGAGATCCTGAAATCTTATTCATCATTTAACTTCAGTGCAACTACGCTAATTATAGTTTATTTGCACTGAAGTGGTTCTGCAGTGGTTTGTGAGGGATAAAATCATAAGCAAAAATGGAGAAATAAGCAGCTGCAAGTAGGCAATCTCTACAAATTGCATAGCATGCAGCACATAAATACGGAAGCTAAAAGATAAACAGTCCTTAAAAATGTTCATTTTTGAAAGTGAAAGCCTGGTTTTGACTTGGAGCAAATCCTAGAATGGGCAAGTACAGTGTGCAGTTTATCTGTTATGTATGTGGGTTTAATATGGCGGAGCTAATCAGTGTGTGTTGCCATTAGATATGCAGTGCAGTCACACACTTGGAAAAGACACAGATTTCTGCCTCCTAATACAGACTTTATTAACTGAGGTTCACTGGTCTGTTGCCGCCACTGCATTGATTTATCTTTTAACCTACTTGCAAAAAGATAGACCATGTAGGGTTCTTTCACCTGAGTAGTTCATCTACTTATAGCACGAGACTGATGCTGATGGTGGGTGTGGGTTAAAAAGTCATTTTAAAGCACTTTCTAATATACTTACTCAAAGAAAATATTGTTTATTGTATCTAGTATAAATATCTTCCTGTTCTGTGTAAGACTACAACACAGGAAGTGGGGGAAGAAGGAAGTCTCAAGTTTGAATACAGTAGAAAAGTCTGATGCAAAAATAAAAAATGTTGACAATTTAGTCTCACGAAGTGCGCACAAATAAGCTTCCTTTTCTATCAGTTTAAGTATCGTCTAGAAATAGTCTGACTTTTTTGCTTGTTTTTTTTTTTTTGCACAGTCAGAATTTCATTAGCAGGCATTTTGTAGCTGCAGTTCTTCTTGAGGGCAAACCATCTTTAAGCTCAAATGGAGGAGAGCAAACCTCTGAACTGTTGCACAAAGATGAATGATAGACTCTGTAGCTGTCGGTGCTCTGCACACTTTTCCTCTGCCGTGCAACTGGTCTTTGGCTGCAACCCATGTCGCTACTCACTGCTGCTTTCACTGTTTCCTAAATCCGATCATTTTGACTGATACAGTCATTAAAGAAAAGACAGAAAGCAGAAAAAAAAGAGCCTACTAAAGTCTTTAAATTGCTCCAGAGCTCCGGATTATCAACAGCCCAAAACCTAAAGAAATGCTGTTTACTATCGCATAAACCCAACCTGAGGCCCACTGAAGAAAGGCGTTGCTCCTTGCCTGCCTACTCGTGTGTGCCACCGTTTGCAGCTGGCCAGCATCTGGATACACTAACTTATTTGGACTACCTATTTATATTTACCTTAAGCTACTTAGTCGCCATCTACTATTGTGTTTTACTGCTACTTTTTTTTACTGGTTAGCCTTTTTAAAAAAAAACCTTATAACGTGTGACGTCACGAATCAAGCTAGCTTACCGTGTGTACTAAAATCTTCCTGTAACCGAGGCTTGCCATTGCATACTTAGTGTTTGTGTTCAAGTTTATTTTTCCATTGTAACAATAACCTTATTTATATATTCAATATATTTATGTATATATTTATTTTATTCACTTATGTTTTTTTTCTTCTTTTTTAGTAAAGTGGAACTTTGTTGGCCAAAATGAGAAGCACCTTTCCCTGGAGGTGGGCGAAACTGTCCACATCCAAGAGGTTTGCGAAGGTAAAATGTTGTTAAATAAGCCGGTTATCCGGTTTGTCAGTGTGGTTCAGATACTTTATACATAGATGTGTAAACCTTTGAAATTATTTGTTATTGAAAAACTGCATGTTAGTAAGCACATTTTGTTCGTGTTTTTGTAAATGTTACATTTTTGAGAGTTAGACGTTTATCATGTTTTATGGAGTATAAACATAATAAATACATTTAAAATACAATAATATGTACGCTCAACTGCTACTTTTTACACCTTTGTACTGGGTTTAAGCCCCGTTTAGCCTTCAGCATTGCCTTAATTCTTCCTGGCAGAGATGCAACAAGGTGATGGAAACATTCGTCAGAAAGTTTGGTCCATGTTCACATGATAGCATAACACAGTTGGTGCAGAGTGAATCTTCTTGATGCAAATCTCAAAGGCTGGATGGAGATTTGGTGTCTATGGAATTAGCCAGATGATTTGGGCTTTGTCACACAGAAACAACCATTAGAGGCCATCAGAAGATGGGTACACTCTGGCTATAAAAAGATGAGCATGGTCGGGAGCAATATTCAGATAAAAAATGCTAAACTGGTACTAAGGAGTCCAAACTGTGCCAACACGATATCGCCAACACCATTACACCACCATCTGTCTGAACTGTTTATACAAGGCCGGATGGTTCCATGCTTACATGTTGTTTACACCAAAGTCAGACCCTACTATTTGAATATTGCAGCAGAAATCAAGACTCATCAGACCGGGCAATGTTTTTTTCCAGTTTTCTACCATCCAATTTTGGTGCGCTCAACCACATTATAGCCTTAGTTCTTAGCTGGCAGACCAGTGAGCCTGGCTGTAACAACAGTGCCTCGTTCAGAGTCCCTTCAGTCGCCTTTCCTCCCCCAGTTTGAAACTCTGTTTGAACTTCTTAAGGTTGTCTTGAAAAGGTACTGAGTTGCTGATATGTGATTGGCTGATTAAATATTTGCGGCAACAAGCAATTGAACTGGTGTACTTAACAAAGTGACCAGTGAGTATAACTATTACATTGCTGTAACTTCCAGAATCAGAGTACTTTATTAATCCTTAGGGAAATTATGTGGTTACAGTTGCTCCAAGACAATAACAGTAACAGACTAAATTAAGAACTAAATTAAATAATACAATATATCACAAATTGTACAAAATATAAGAAATGCCTCCAATATGTACAAATAGCTCAATTATAAATATCCAGAATATTGCAGAGGTGAAATATATATGATTGACATTTTACTCTAAACTGCAAAACTTGTTATTTGTTATTTTCACTGTAGAGCATGTGCAAAACGGTGTAGTTATTGTACTGTGCATTAGATGGAGGACTTGTACAGGGAGATGGCCACGGGTAGGAATGATTTCCTGTGTCGTTCCGTGGTGCATTTGGGAAATCTCAGTCTCTCACAGAACATCCTCTTGTGACTGGCCAGCACGTCATGGAGTGGGTCAGAGGTATTGTCCTAATGTTGGACAACATCCCCCTCTTTGATACCATTTTACGGGAGTCCAGCTCCATCTCCGCAAAATTATGGAGCTGGACTCCCTTAAGGTGGTGATGTTGTTCCAATTAGAGAGTCTACGCTATCCTGATTTCCTGTCTTGATAGTAAGATGCCACTTTGTCTTTCAGGTTGGTACAGAGGCTTCTTGTCTAGGAACAAAGCGCAACAGGTAAGAGCCTACACAAGCATAATATCAGTGAAGATTTACATTAACAGAAAGCTTTAAAGCACATTTTAGCGGTCAGCCAGATTTATTCATGTGAGAATTTTACTTTTCTTATTCTTTCTTGTGGAAAAGAAGATTCCAAGCTATCACCACTTATCATTTCCTCATTCATCTCCTCTACATGTATTCCAGGGAATGTTTCCAGTCAGTTTTGTTCAAGTTAAGGAAATCATAATTGAAAAACGAGGGTATGTAAAAAAAAAAAATAATAACAGTACCAAAAATAAGGCATCTTTAACTGTCTGTAAAAGTTTTTTTTAATTTGTTCCGTTTTCCATTACTTATGCTCTGACAGAGATGAGGAAGTGGTGTTGTCTGCAGAGATGCCCTTGGTGAAGGAGGTGACCACTACGTTGAGGGAGTGGGGAAGCATATGGAAGCAGCTATTTGTGGTATGAATTAAACAGTGAGCCACTTTTTGTATTCGTGTGTGTGTGTGTGTGTGTTTGTGCGCCTGAATCTAACATCATTTATTTACCTCTCCAGGCCAATAAAGAGGCACGTGTCAAACAGGTCCAGAGGCTGATGTGGGAACTGATGGAGTGGCGTTCTCAGCTCCTGTCTGGCACCCTGCCTAGTGATGAATTCAAGGAGCTAAAGCAGAAAGTTACTTCCAAGATTGACTATGGCAACAAGTATGCCTGCATTAATATTTAAACATGTTTATACTTTCTCATTGTTTAAAGCTTAATCAACCAACCAGATTTTTGTCAGACTGACTGTATAATTCATGTTAGTTTGATCTCCTTTGAACATCTTTCTGTTCTTTTCCTGATAACTTTGTCTTGCAATCTCTATTCCTTTGCCTCCCAGTCCATACCCCTTGCTGTGTTCCTGTGTTGCTCTTCCCTCATCCTTGTTCACCTTGTATCAATCTTCCCTCTATTACTCCCCACACCAGGATCCTTGAATTGGACCAGGTTGTTCGAGATGACGACGGGAACATCTTGGACCCAGAGCGAGCCAACGTCATCAGTCTATTTCGGGCCCATGAGGAGGCCACAGCCAAGATCAATGAACGCATCAAAGAGGAGCAGGTATATAACAAACTGTAGGAAGGAGAGGGCCATATAGAAAATGCTTTCCAAGGGTGAATGTGATGTCACAGTCACAACAGTGTTGTTTTTTTTAGCTTGGAAGCAACAACCAGGGAGTTTTTTTTCTGGAGTAACTTCTACCCCATTATTGGGGTAATACAAGTACACGTAAAAGTTACCCTGAACTAAACACGAATAGAAAAACGACTTTATTACTTTTTTAAAAAATAATAAATTAGTAAAATAAAACTTAACCCTTGTGAAAAAGTCCTTAAATAATACATTTTACTTCCCAGTCATGTGTGCTAGCTTGGACTAATTAAGAATTCACTTCCTTACAAATTGGCTTAACTTCACTTCAACTCCATCCAGCCAATTTTTCATTTCAGCCTTGACTCAGTTCATTGACAGAATGGATTTCTGATGATTTTCTTACTCAGTGATTTCCATTTCCCGCACAAACCCACAATCTGCAGCTGCAGCTGGTGCATTTTAGAATAAGTAACCACTAATTATAAAACATTAGAGCAGCCAAACACATTTATCAGACCCTTGCCAAAATGAACACTTTTGGTTGCAATTTTATCCTGTTAAATCATCATCAGTAGTTATCTCCTAAAATTAATTTCCTCTCACGCAGTCCAACATCCAGACAGACCACAGCGGGATCTCAGCACGGATCCAGTCCTCCCCCACCCACAGCCTCTACGTCTTTGTGAGGAACTTTGTCTGTCGCATTGGAGAGGACTCCGAGCTCTTCATGTCCCTCTATGATCCCAATAAGCAAACCATCATCAGGTGTCACTTCTCTTTCCTTACCGTATTCCCTAAAGGTGTTTCAGACATCTGTTCCTGTCAGGTGGATTAGACGCTCAGGAAGATTTGGCTTCACATTGTGAAGTAAAGTTATTGCAGGTCTTATATATTTTTCAGTGTCACTGAAAGGAAGTGACTTTTTATTTTGTGTTAAATCACAAACATACAGACTGAAAGATAAGGCGATTTTTTTTTCTTATGTAATTGATTCTTCTTTGGGAATTAACATCATAGTTCCAGCTAAAAAATTACATCCCTTGTTTGTTTAGATGTCGTTGTTGTTGTTGTTGTTGTTTTTTTAACCTTACCTCAATTGTTCTGCTGTATAAAACATATATGCAAAACCTTTTTTCTATTTCTTCTTGTGTCTGTATACCTCTCCATTGTTTCTCTTCTATTGCTAAGCCCTGTTAAATGTGAACAACGGCATGCCAAAAATAAATATAGAGAAACTACAAATTATAGGGCCGCACATACTGAGTGGCAGCACTGTGTGGTGCCTGACAGTGCTGACGTTAAGCCCTGTCACTCACTGTCATACTGGCTATATCTATGTCTCAGCCACAGAAGCTGAAAGTATTAAGATAGACCCAAGTCTGTCATCTTATTCTTATAACATATATTATCCACAGCTACTCTTTTGTATTTTCTTGCATTGGCTGTGATCTCTGATTCACTTCTGTCTCATCTGTGCTTATGTGCTTAAATAATTTACTATTTTCTTTGAAAACCATTTTTTTTCGCAGATGTATGTTTATCCACATCTCCCTGAAAAAAAGTGAAGAACAGTAGGGTTCAATATTTTAGAAAGATATTAGGTTTTTCTAATTTTTTTTAACCTTACTGCACCCACAGGTTTTCTTGGGATCTGCTTTTCTATTCTCCTCCCTTAAAGTGTCTCTTACATGTTTATGTAGCTACACAGGGTAGATTTAGTAGTTACAGCTGTTTGCAAGGGGATCAAAGATTTGAGCTTAAGTTTCACTGAAACTGTTTTCATTGTGAATCATGTGCATCAGTCAGGCTGCAGTGCACAGTTTCATTTTGGCTAGTAGAGTATGTCTGAAAATTTAATTATGAATGATGAGATAATCTTTATGTGGTTGCTTGCTAAAATGTAAAATTAATTTAAAAATGTTTATTTATTTGTGTATTTATTTATTTGTAACTCTTTACCCTTCTTTGTACAGTGAGAACTACTTAGTACGCTGGGGCAGCAAAGGTTTTCCTAAAGAGATTGACATGCTCAACAACCTGAAGGTTGTCTTTACAGTAAGTGACCACACGAGGGCAATGTCACACTGTTCTTAGCTGTGGAGAGATGAAATAGGTGACCTATTTCTTTTCAGAAGATTACATAGCATTTTTTTTTGTTTGTTTGTTCCTTTATTCCTGATTTCTGAATTTATTTCATACACAATTGTTTTTGTCTTTGTTCAACAGGACTTGGGAAACAAAGACCTGAGCAGAGAGAAGATTTATTTGATCTGTCAGATTGTAAGAGTAGGCAGGATGGACCTGAAAGAAGCAAACAACAAGAAGTTTACTCAGGGCCTGAGGAGGCCTTTTGGGGTTGCAGGTAAGTCATGAAGAGACAATGCAGAGGTTTTTTTTCCAACATGCTACAAAATTTCTAGCTCTAGTGATCAAGGAGTGGAAAAAGTACATTGGCAATCTTCATTGTCAGTGTTTGCTAGTTCAGCGATAAGCAATGTTTATTTTAGTTTTGTTACATATACGTGACTTCAAATTATGACACACTTTTGCACTAATGAACAGATATATTGAACACTAATCATCGGATATAGTGAACAGGAAACACACTATTGCATAATTTGAAGGCAGTGAAGAAGACTGCAAGTCTGTGAATTTAAAAAGTGCAGGGTTAAAACCCCCTTTTTTTTAAAAAGTAGCTTTGTAAATGCTTTGTGAGTATACTGGTGACCTCGAGGTAACTGAGCGTGTCTTTTTGATTAATGTTGAGGGTCAAATGGAAAATGGCCTGCATTTGTATAGCGCTTTACTCAGTCACTAAGGACCCCAAAGCGCTTTGCACTACATTCAGTCATTCACCCAATCACAATGGCAAGCTACAGTGTAGCCACAGCTGCCCTGGGGCGCACTGACAGGCTGCTGGACACTGGCGCCACCGGGCCCTCTGACCACCACCAGTAGGCAAACATGGGGTTAGTATCTTGCCCAAGGATACTTGGCATGCAGCCAGGAGGCAGCCTGGGATCGAACCACCGACCACCGACCTTCTGATTAGTGGCTGACCTGCTCTGCCACCTGAGCTACAGCCACCCGTAAAACAACAGAAGCTTTCATCCGATTCACAGGAGAAAAGGCTAACACATCTCATTTCATTACCAAATTCCACCAGTTTCACCATCAATAATGACTTTTGTTAGGTGCTTCAATCATTTTTACTTGTGTTCTCTAAAGCAACCTTTTTTTGCGCCACGGACCAGTTTATGCCCAACAACACGGACCGGCCTTTAAGGTGTCGCGGATAAATACAACACAATAAAACTAGTACCGGTACCGAAAAAAAATATGATTTATTCATAACACACGTAAAAAGACCCAGGAAAACCGAGTTAACGATAAAAAGAATAACAAAATAACGGTGAAAACCGATAAAAACCCTGAAAAACATACATTTCAGACCTGAGCCTCAACTCTCGGGGCCCGGTACCAAACGACTCACGGACCGGTACCGGTCCGAGGCCCGGGGGTTGGGGCCCGCTGCTCTAAAGGTCAACATTGTTTTGCTTCTGCTTGTGCTGTTGCAGGTATTATTGAACATATTTACACCTGGGAGCTATCCTTTGTACAAAGCTAAAATGTTGATGGTGACTGTAAAGCCCTTTTTTTTTTTTACACTTTTGGCTTCTTGGAATCTCACTTCTAAGTTGCCTATATCCTCATGTAACTTCACAACGAGCAATGAGGAGGCCAGTCTTTCTAATGTCGAGTTTTGCTAATGTGAAACCTCAGTACGAATTACAACCTAGTACTTGTTTGATTCTGTGATCACAGACACATTTGTTTTCTCTTCTTGGCAGTGATGGACATCAGTGATATCATCAAAGGGAAGTTTGAATGCGATGAAGAGAAGCAGTATTTCATCCCCTTTTTCCCGTATGTCCTGTTTCTTGTTTCTTTTTTTCCCACTCCACCCCTCTCTGACCTTTTCTTAGCAATTAAAAACCTGAAAATCTATTACCTATAAAATTAAGAAAACAGTACTGTAATTTTCTGCATATGAATGTTTTCTTTGTGTTTGTATGTTTGACTCCAGGGTAGTTGCAGAAAATGACTTTCTCCACACCTTACTGAACAAAGTGACAACATCACGAGGAGACAGTGGTGGCCAAGGTACAGTTTTGCAATCCCAGGCTTTGTTCTTTGTTCCTAGTCATGTGGCAGTTCTTGCAAAAGTCCTGCACACACTGAAGGTTCCCACTGGACTGTATATGCTCCAGTCATTTGTGGTTAGATAAAATGGCAGTTCTTCATTGCATCCTCGCCTCTTTTCTCTGCACTAGGGTGGAGAATGAAGGACATTATCCTGATGTATGGCACCCACCCTTGAGCTGGTGTTTTCATATTACTTAACCTCCATTTCTCCCTGACCAGACTCTAGTCTTGCTGCTCACTACCTCATGTTTATGGCAGACTTTGACAACCCCTATGGGTGACACTGTCTTGTTCCACATAGAGTAACCCTGCATATCCGACTGCACTGTCATATCGCTCAGCTTTTATCCTCCTCTCGCTCCTGAAGGCCCTGGGCATAACCTGGAAAATGAAAGGAGCACTTGAACAAGCAGATATGGAAGGAACACTTGAGGCCACCAGATGCCTGCTCTTAACATTACTCACCCCTAATCTCTCCTTCCTCTCTTTTAGGTGCTTTTGCTACTGTCCAGACACACACACACACACACAAAACACATTGAGTGTTTTCCCTGTAGGTCTGTGGTTAGCCTTGAAAATGTAGGTTTGTAACACAGTCTAGATTTCACCACCTATGTATTTCCCTAAAATAGCTCACCTCTTTTTTCCCTTTTGATTCCCAATTCCTTTTCTTTGCTTTTTCACCTAATTTCTCTGAAACCCTCTGAGAGTCCATTTTCTTTAGAAGTAAATTCTGTCGATAATAATAATACCTCCATCTTTTCTTTTCCCCCTTTGCTCCCATTTCCTAAATGGGACACAGCATTTTTCCAGCATTTATTGCAGTCTTGTCTGCAATGCCAGCACATCCTCAGTTCATTTTAATATCATGTTTCCCATAAATAACCAGTAACCTTTTACATAAAATAAAGCATCCATTAAGTTCAGCCCTCAGGCCTCATGTTTCAGGGTTTCTGTTGGTCCTGAAAACATCTTAAAGTTTTTTTTAAATTCAGTTTTAATACTACAGGTCCTTGAAGTTATTTTCATTTATTTGGCTTCCATTTGAATTTACATTCCCACAGAGAAATAAATGAACACTCGTTTTGCGATCCCTCGTTTAACGAAGACTTGAGTGGTGCCTGTATTTACATGCAAACGCTCTTAAATTTGCTAAGGTTTGGTCTTGCAAAGTTCTTTAAAATATTCAGTTTATGCTCGTGCCCATTAAAATACACTGTTTTTACACAGGTTGTTTTATATGATAGATGGTCCTGCAGGCCAAATCTTATCTGTGCATCTTTCTCTTTCTGGTCTGTTGCATTTTACAGAAACGCATGTATGCTTGAAGAATAAGCATAAAAAGTTTTATGATACCATAAACTGACTGGTATATAATGCGTACCCTTACTCTAACTGTGTGCTCAAACCACTTTTTGCTACAGTGCTCATTCACATACATTCAAAGAACTTTTTTTCTATACCATTTTCACACGAACTCACACTCTGATGCATCAGAGGCAACTCTGGGTTCAGTGTCTTGATCAAACATACTTCAGTATGCAGACTGGAGAAGCTGGCGCATCCACTGATCTTCTAGCCACAGCTGCCACAAAGCTGGGCTTGGAGCTGGGTTTGGGTTTGAGCCTGGGCCCGGTCTTGCAGTTGAGAATGGAGCCAGCGAAACATGTGAGGCAACTGAGGACGGGGCTGGTCACCTGAGACCTGCTCAGATTTACCGGCATTAAGATTTCCAAAGCCAGAATAGGAAGATTTCATATGTGCTTCAGGGTTCCCAACAAAGCATACCCATGGCAGCTCTACACAAAATATAAATCTCATGGCTTTAACTAGAAATGTGACCAGATATAAGCTTGAAAAGCCTCTTCCTAGCTTCTTTTAACCAACACAACCACAACTCTGCATCACACTTTATGTAGTGCAGAAGAATAATATGTATAAGGAAAAAACGTATATAAAGTCATTATCGCATCTTTTTTTTTTTTTCAGTAGTATATTCTCTTCCTCCATCTCTAATACATAGTCTTCTTCATTCTGTTATCCATAGGGCTGTGGGTCACCATGAAGGCTCTGGTGGGGGACATTGTGCAGATTCGGAAGGAATACCCTCACCTCGTGGACCGCAGCACCGTGGTAGCCCGGAAGCTTGGCTTCCCAGAGATCATTATGCCTGGAGATGTTCGCAATGACATCTACCTCACCTTACAGGGCGGAGACTTCGACAAATACAACAAGACAACCCAGAAAAACGTGGAGGTCATCATGTGGGTCTGTGATGAGGAGGGCAAAGTCATACAGGTGAGGAAATGTGAAATAACAGGGACAGAGCATATCAATGGATTCAAAGAGGAGAGGGATTTCTATGAACTGTGATTGGTTTGTGTGTGTCTAGGGTATAGATAAAGTGTGCGGGTGCAAAAGTATATGTTGTGTATTAAATGATTGAGGTGGTGTAGGTCATTGAGCAAGCACGGCACTGATGAAACACTTACTCACCCTCTCATAGTCAGGGCAAATGGATACGGATTTATCCCAGAAGGCAAATCCATCTTAGGCATACATGGATGCACACACAAACATAAATTCTTCACAGTCACTGTGAGGCGTATTTTTCTTTACCTCTCTTTTTCCTAGAACTCCATCTGTCTGGGAGCAGGGGATAAGGCAGTCAGTGAGTACAGATCTGTCATCTACTACCAAGTCAAACAGCCCCGCTGGATGGAGACATTTAAGGTGTGTGTGTTTTATTTCCTTATCTACTAGTCTCTTCGTTCCGTTGTCTTGATATAATGCATTTGCATTCGTGAGTTCTAATGTTCAAGGCAAGAAATCACATCATACTGTCAGTATGTCTTTAGGATATCAGTTTTATTATATTCTACAATAACGTGAGATATCCTCCAGGTGGCAGTCCCCCTGGAAGAAATGCACAGAATTCATTTACGCTTTATGTTCAGACATCGCTCTTCCCAGGAGTGTAAGTATCACCCTCTGTCTCTCTCTACTTGTCTGCATTCTTCATTAGATCATCACTCTTAACTCCTCCTCTCTGATCCCCTGAGTATAATGTGACACTGAAAGGACAGAATGAGTCTAACCTATTTGGAAAATGAGCCAAGGCATCATTACACATACTTGATTAAACAAATGAGCACTTTTTCTTTCTTCTGCGTGTGAATTCGCGCGCCGTGTGAACTCCTTCCTCTCTTTCTCTATTTCCCTGATGTGTTTTTCCCCTGGCCATTTCTAGTTTTGTTTACTTATCGTTCTCCTTCATTTGCAGCCAAGGATAAGAGTGAGAAGAACTTCGCTATGGCTTTTGTGCGTCTAATGAAGGATGATGGGACTGTTCTGCAGGATGGACTGCATGAACTTGTGGTCTTCAAGGTCAGAACCAGCGGCAGAACTTTTGGATAAAGAAAGACGAACTAATGAATGGACTCAGTATCCTCTCAAAAGGAAATACCATCATCCTCATTTTCCAGTTTAGAGAATAGCGCATATAGACCTAAGAACACATAATAACAAACAAAGAATGATCCTTTCATGATGAATTTATGTTTACAATATGAAGGTCAAACAAAAGTGGTGAAAATGTGCACAGCCACTTGTCGAAAATACTGTATGGTAGATAATCTACAAATAAGTTTGAAAGATGATTGCACCGGGGAAAACGTCTAACAATGTATGTTTAAATGCAACAATCATCAAAACTGACCTAAACATGTAGCGAGTATAGATAAGAGGTTATGGCCACCCAGACAGGTTGAGTGAAGCCAAATAGATTTCCTGCCAAATGAGCCCAAGCTAAGATTGAATCCCCATATTGATTAAATGCCAAACCCAATGAAGATTAATTACTCGTGATTCACTCAAAGACCAAATGGATGGTCCCTCTGTGCCCTCTTTCTCGATTATCTCTCGTTATCCCTGCATTCCTCTCGATCTCTGCGCCGCTCATGGCTTCACTCTCTTACTCTCCAATTTTTCCAGCCACTCACTCATTATTTACTGATGTGGCATTAATGAGGACAGAGTTGAGGGTGCTGAGTTGAAAATATGACATTCACTGATGCCCTCACCTCTGCCGTGCCAGAGCTGTCCCACTGCTACCACTACCCACTACCTGCCACCCTGAAGCAATCAACCTAGAAGAACCGTTGATGTTAATGTGACAAATTAACGGTGTTCTGTTTTTGTCAAAGCTTCTATCTTTCTAACTTGTCTGACACAGCTGTATCCAAAACTATGAGTTCACAAAAATTAAGGCAGAAGTAAATAAGGCTTAGGCAAAACATAGGATTACGCTTTACAAATCTTACAAATGTATCAAATCAATCAGTTTTTCATTTACATCAAGACGTCTTGTAAGCTGAGACAATTTCTATACATCTATGACATCTTTGTCGCACTAATGGTATCCACAGCATTTTGTTAAAAATGACTTTGTGCTTTTAGGGTGACAGCAAGCGCATGGAAGACGTGAACTCCTACTTGTCTTTGCCCTCAACCCGCAACCATCACAGTGACCCCCACAAGATGTCCACACTGAGCCGCAGCTCAAGCAGCGTGTCTGGGGGAGGAGGAGGCCTGTCTGTGAGCTCTAGAGACAGCTTCACCATCTCCACCCTGGTCTGCTCCACTAAACTCACCCAAAACGGTACGTGCAAGCCTGATATTGTGGCGACGTTAGCATGCTAGAGGCTTGGCAGGGCAAACTATTTTTACACAGAAACGGCCATGAAAACACAATAGATGACAAAAGGTCAAAAGCAGACCTTTATGTGGAGGAGGGTGCTTGAAATCAAGCCTGACACATCCAAAAAAAGAAAAAAAAAACATTAATTAACAACTTCTTTCAACAGACTAATAAGGCCAGGCAAAGACAATGAATCATCGGTTGGCTGTGAAATTAGTAGAGGACAAATCCACTCCTTACAAGTCTGTAAGAAATACTGGTCGGATGTGGCCTCATGTATTGAGCTGGATTCAAATGTTTCCCTAGAAAACAACAAACTTGTGGTGAAATGCAATCAACATTTTACTAACGTGCTAAGACTGTGTTATTTTTAGGTTTAGGGTTAAAAGTTGAGGTGAGGTCAAATTAGAGGAAAGACAACCTCTAACCAATTAATGGTGAGTCAACAGAATCTTAATTAGACTATATGTTTTGTGGTCATGGAATAATAAGCAAGGGATGGAGGGCAGGCTGTGTATATACATGGATTTTATTAGCAGGGAATGTCATCATTTTGTCCTACACACTCAGGCAGCCCCACAGGCCAGACACACACACACACACACACACACACACACACACATACAGAGTGAAATGCACATCTACATCTAATGCAAAAAGCACGTACACCCCAGACAGTAAGGTGCATCAGAGACAGGTGGAGTTCAACAGCTGTTACTGAGGAAGTCAGTCCATCACTATAATGAACATTATCCTGCTGTATTAATCACCTGTACCACGTGCACACAGACACACACATGCACACACTTACACACACAAAGGCTTTTAAGCATGCATGCACACAATGTTGTTCAGGGCCACCCACCAGATGTGCGGCTTGGCCCAGTGAGTCAGAAATTACCGGTCAGGGAAAGCAGTGAGCCTTACGTGGGCAGCACTACAGAGACATGGAAATCTGCCCCGTGTCAAACCGAAGCAGAATTAATGACACAGACTGTGGATTTGCAAGTCCCAGAGGGATGGGCACTGTCCATATAACAATCATTACTTGACAAATCTCCACTTTATTGGCAGATGGAGATGAACTTGAGACTCTAGAATTAAATGTATATTGCCCAGGAAGCATACACTTTATATTTATTATTGTATATTTAAAACCCGGTTGATTACATTTACAGTGGTTTAAAACAGGGAAAACAGCAAATTGCTGAACTTCAATGCTGTCAGTTAATTAGTGTAACTAATTAAATCGTTTATTGTTTCAACTCTAATTTTAATGCAGCGCAGAAAAAATCAGCTTACTATATTTCACATAAAATTAAAACTGAATTCTGCGCAGTACCAAGGAGAATCTCTCTCTTTTTTAATTATGCTGTTAATTGAAATTGCATTTACATTATAGTTGAGTAACCTCAACTTCCACCTGAACATCAAAAATCCTTTGTTTTCTCGTCTGTGTAGTGGGGCTTTTGGGTCTGCTCAAGTGGAGGACTCGACCTGAGCTCCTCAAAGAAAACTTGGAGAAGCTAAAAATCATTGATGGAGAGGAGGTGGTCAAGGTCAGTGGTGTGAATACAAGTGTGCCATTCAATAAGCGTGTAGACTAGCGTGTGTGTACTTTGACTGCTTCACCCTTTTTTTTTCTGTACATGTGTATGTAGTTTCTGCAGGACACTCTGGATGCCTTGTTCAACATTATGATGGAACACTCTCAGACTGATGACTATGACATTCTTGTGTTTGATGCCTTGGTGAGTGTGTGGTTTTTGTGAGTCTGACTTTGCATGCTTGCGTTGTCAACACATGTAGCAGATATCTTGACAGGCTATCTCTGCGTTCAGCGGGTCTTGACATCTTTGTATCCAACCGTCCATCTTTTCCCAAATAAACACGACTGTCAGATGATCATACAAAAATTCTCATCTGCCTTTTAAATGTTTTACTGCTTTGTAAGCGTTTAACAAACTCTCATAGTCTCTCTTCTCTTACTATGTCTGGCAGATACACATCATCGGGCTCATCGCTGACAGAAAATTCCAGCACTTCAACACAGTGCTGGAGGCCTACATCAAGCAACATTTCAGTGCTACGCTGGCTTACAAGTAGGTTATTTCCATTATCTTTCCATTATTTCCTCTTACTGTCATGTCACTCCAGAAAGAGTAAGATACACTTTTTAACAACACATCCCATTTACTGGAGCAGCAAAGGAAGTTGCTGAATGATTTGTTGAATTGAATCTAAACCGCATGGTGCAGTGATTAATAACTTCACTCTTGGTTAGTCAGATTCCTGGTCTCAACAGCTCACAGTGACACATGACAACAAGAGCTCAGTAAATAGAGACAGGCTTTTCCAGGAAATGTGAGCTTTTGTCTGAACGGTGCTGAGTGACAGGATGCAGCCAGAGGCCGATGGTGTGGGTTTTTGTTTACTTGTATAATGACAATAGAAATAAATATGGTGATGAAAACCCCTTATGTAATCACATTAATCTGAGGTAAATGAGTTTATATTCCACATAATCACTGTAAAATGTCACGCATTTAAGAATAAAATAGGAAATGCCACTCTTATTGAAAAGATGCTGTAAATGAGGCAGCGACACGTAGGACTGATGAGAATATTACATTCCAGCATGTCCCGCATGGCCGGCAAAATATCACATTATAATGAAGTGGTCTTATACATGGTGTATTTATTGAGTTTATTTTGCAGTACGCAAACTCAAAAACTGTACACTCATAATAGATGAAAATAGACTAATTATCAGCATTTCCACTTCAGACAAAGAAAACGTCCTTAGTGTTTCTGGGCAGAGGCCCTGGCGATCCCTCTGATCATCCAATGCTTGACAAATCTGGCTAAAGGGACATGGAACATCACCTGTATGGAGGGGAAGGAGCCCATATTAGTCTGTGAGGTCGAGAAACAGGGTCCCCTAGCTGAGGGTCTGAAATCAGTTTCCCCTTGATAAGGGATGGAAGGCTGATTTCCACTCTGGATTTCTGAGGCAGTAGACAGGGATGGCTATACTTGTATTTCCCTGGTGCCTGTACACTGGGTTCACCTTGGTGGACAAGATGGTTATTTCCCTCACCTCTAATTTCATTGTTTCATATGTGCTCTATCATAACTCCATCCCTCTCCCGTTAGTATGTTGGCATTCACCCTCTAAAAGGGTCGCTGCAGCTTATCGCCTGTCAGCCCAGAGGCTATTATGTAAAACTGTCTAACTTGCTCTCACCATATTTTAAACTGCTCTCAGATGGAATAAATCCTCCTGTACTTGCCTTTAAGCTACTGCACCAAAACAAAACTAGGGATCACTGACTAGTAATTACATTGGAAATATTTTCAAGTCCACTCTAATGGCAGTGAGGCCAGATTGGAGTCAAGTTTTAAAAGGACTTTTATTGTTTAAGAGGATTGTGTAGTTTTAAAGTGGTCGTTCTTAGCGAGCGATCCGCTGTTGCCACTTCATGGAAATTGAGCTATCACAAAACCAAAAGCTACTGTACAAATAGCTACTGTACAAATGTTCTAGTGTTGTATAATATTGCGACACAGGAAGGTTAAAGAGGAAGATTCTGGTAGGTTGTAAACTTAGACTGAACTTTGTGCTACCCAAACCTCTCTCCAACTGCGTTGGCACAGCAGAATATTTATGTGTGTGTCTAAAGACGCCTGCAGGGTGTGCATGTGTTGGAGAATGATTTCTTCACCATGCATCTGAGGGCAAATAAAAATGTCTGTGAGCTGTGTGAAAGGTACATCTGTTCAGGTGTGAAATACTATTTTGCTATTTTTCCACAGCCACCTCTCTGACAGTTTTTCTCTCTGGTTCTTTTGCTCTCACTCTATTGCACTCGTCTTTCTGCTCTATGGAAGTGAAAAATGGAGTTGGTGATTAACTTTCCAACCTGTGCAACATCAGAAAAGGAATGACAATTTTGTCTGAATGATTTTGATTGTCTCCTTTCTCCCCATCCTGCACCTCCTTCCTGATTCCTCCCCCGTATCTTTCTTCCCCAGAAAGCTGATGTCGGTGTTAAAGAGGTATCTAGATGTGTCCAGTCGAGGAGAACAGTGTGAGCCCATACTCCGAACCCTCAAAGCCCTCGAGTATATCTTCAAGTTTATTGTTCGTTCACGCATGCTCTACTCGCAGTGAGTACTTTTTTTTCTGTTTTGTTTTTGGATCCTCGACAATGCAAATAGAGATTCTTGAACACACACAGAACCCAGTGACTCTGCATTGCCAAAGTAATTGTTTTTGACAGCTCTGTGAGAAAGGCCTGCTGATTACAGCACTAAAGGTGCTAATAAGCATTGATGATGAAGTGCAGCAACCAAATGATCTAGCTAATGTCAGGGCAGGACTGCTGAATGGGCAGCCAACATGGCCAGAAAAGTTCCAGCAAGAGAGACACCCACTGTGCTGAGCCCAGGGCTGCACCATATGACGAGTGTAAACACCATTTATAACTAGTGAAAAAGTTGTTGCTGAGAGATCAGACAGATGATCCAGAAACATGATGTTCCCTGCCTGTGGGTGACTTGAGTGACTTTGTGTTGATGCCACTGGATGTAGGTACATAGGACACAACCCTGTAGAATTCTGTATGAATGTTTATAGAAATTAGTTTTGAGGGGATGTGTGTGTGTGTGTGTGTGTGTGTGTGTGTGTGTGTGTGTGTGTGTGTGTGTGTGTGTGTGTGTGTGTGTGTGTGTGTGTGCGTGTGCCACCTGATCAGTGACAGTCTGTCTTTTTAATCTTCTAAAGGGCATCAGGGGCTTTTGATTGTTTGTTTATTTGATGAGAAACTGGAAATGGGAAGAGATATATAAATTCGGATAATAAATTGATTATACTGAGTTTACTCTGCCAGTTGGGGACAAGGGCAAGTCCATCAAACTTTTAAGGTCAGATTTTGTTTGTTCCAGCATTCTCATGAAATTATATTGGTATACCTTGCCCATTCTGATCTGGATTCCCATGTTTTTAGAAGATGGAAATCTAAGTTTGTGAATGTGAGAGCTTGAGAATGAGGCAACAATGAGACCTTAAGATTAAGTGGAGCTTGTAAATGAATAAGTTTGAATCTTAGTGACCATGACTTCAAGGTCAGAGGTCACTGAGAGTCACAACAATGTCACAACAATGACATTGACCTCAAAGTCAAGGTCAGAGGTCAGGTTTTCTGAAAATCTTGTGAACGTGATAACTTGAAAACGAGGCGACATAGCATTTTGGATACCATTTGTGTGTGTACTAGGAAGCTGAGGGTCAGCACTGGCGGTCACGAGTATTTTTAGAACCTGAAACTATGCCCATTTTAATATACAGTCTACAAATAAAAATGGAGATACATATGCCTATTTAGCAAGGTGTTACAAAATGCTATTATAAAAAATGGCAAGATCCAGTGTCTCAAAATGATAGAATTAGAAAATGGCAGATTTCTCTGTCAGTGAGTTCAGATTTTTCTGCAGGTTTGTCTTTTTGTGCTTTTCTTTGTGTTCATGTATGTGCATGTGTGTTCACACAGACATTTTAAGCAGACATTTAAGCATTCTTCTAAGTAGATGCTTTTGTGTGTGCATGACATTATCTCATCACTGGTCCTAGACTGACTGAGCTTCAGTCACCAGCATCCCCTGGGTGTTTCTAAAGCGATAAATCTCACTCTTCTTCTCAGCTTCTCTCTCTCCTTTTCTGTCTCTTTGTCTACCAACTACCTGCTGCTGACAGTTTCAGCTTCCGCTGCATCTAAAGTTTTCACATCAGATTTCTCCTCTACTCTAAGGCCTTGTCACGCAGAGAGAAAATCACATATTCAGGGGAGCCACCGTGCTGTAGATGCATCTGTAAGGCTTCATCACCGTCACCATGAAGACTAGCAGTCATTAATAGTTAAATAGGTGGCATTGAAGATTTATTAGGTTGTCAAACCAGCTTCGTGTTCAAAATCTATTATGAATGTGTAATGTGTACTTCAGAAATATGTAAGGCAAGCAATTCTAAATTTTGCTTCTTTTTGTCCTCCAAGCTTCAAGCTTTTAATTTCTCTGGTGTCTAGTTAATCGCTCTCACAGTCCTCTTTAATATGTTCACCTCAAGTAAACTGCATGTAATTATATCACATGAAAAAGAATGTTTTCTAATATGAAGACTTATTCTTATTAATGTGATAAAAAAAATTATTAGATGATCATTTTATTATGAGCTCAGTGTTTTCTAGTTATGACAATAGATTTGTTTCACAGCAGCCATTTTTATATTACAAAGAAGGTAAACACAGGTGTTACTAATCACATTAATCCTCTGCATCTAAATTAAATAGAACTTTAATGTCATTAGTAACACCTGTGTTTACTTACCAGTTCACCGGAAAATGGTTGCTGTGAAACAAGTCTGTGTCTGAGCTTTTGAATTTTGTTATCTTATTGTTAACACATCTTATTATTTAATATAAAAGCAGGCGAAAAAGGATAGTACTTTGACAGTAAAAGACTAATTACAGGAAAAATAGTTCCCAACTAAAATTCAGGGTCACATTGATGCGTACCTTGGGACTCTGTTCCATCGATCAGATTGAAACATTTAAAGCGTTACAGACCAAACAATAATCAGAGGATTTTTCACAGTTACGCTCATTGGTGATGCATCTTAGAGGTTTTGGTTATTCTCATTTCAGTCAAAATATTGCAGCATTGAGCACTTCGACTCCAGGGAAGCCGATTAAAATTACGAATCAGAACAGGGAGGTATTTATGACTAGAAATTCATATGTCATGTTTACTGGTGTCTTGAAGACATTATTTTTACAACTACAATATCTGCAGCAGAGTTGCTCTTCAGCCCCTCTTTTAATCAGACTTCTTCTCTGCCGCTCACTCCTTTTTTAAATTTACATAATTTTGTGTTCGTGTACGCTTCGTGAGCAAATAAAATTTAGGTTAAGAGTAAAGTGATCATCTATTGTGTAAAATGCAGGAGAAGTGCGTATTTGTGGTATGAGTGCACAATCCAGTCTTAGCATAGCAGCACTAACACATCAACTGTAGATAACACCCACGCTTGTGTGCACAGACACACACATACACACCCCCACACACACAGAAACACTCACACACAGACAGGGCTGGTGGATTAGCAGGACAATGCGTGTGTAATCATAACTGTACTCTGCAAAGAGCCCAGTGATAATACCTCTGTGTGTTACTGCCTAATCCATCCCTCCACATGCTAAATTTGCTGTGTGCCACATGCTAATCCTTCCCCCCAGCACTCATAACTTCCATTGTAATTAAAAACTGCACAGTGCAATTGAATCGCTCAAACACAGTGAGGAGAAGAAGGAAGGAAATGGGTGGAGAGATGGATGGCAATAAAGTTTGCTAATGCACGAGCCCGTAGACCTGAGGGGATGTTAGAAGCAACACAGTCAGCCAGCCTTTTCTTGTGACAGGATGCTGTAGTTACAACAGTCAGTGCTTATCAGTGTTCAGTTGCAAAAACTGGCTTCATTTTGTTAGTGTAATGCTGCATTGTTTTTTCTCCATTACTACAATTGAATATAGGACATTAAATCAAAGATATTGCTTTGCTGTGTAATTACCTAGGCAGTTTTTCGTGGGTTTTACAGCTTCGTATGCTAAATAAATGATTGACTTAGGGTTTAAAGTGCACTCCTGTTACAGAAAGAAGATATGAGGAACTGTAGCCAGTTTAGTTTATACCCCATATCCAGAAAATCAAAAAAATTCAGATGCAGTGTCACTCTGTGCTAAGTGACTTTGATTTCATATAAAGAATGGCAGCACGGAAAAGATGAAGATAACTTAACAAACCTTTCATTACAAGCCTGGAATCAGTTTAAACTGTGAAGAGAAACACTGGTTGTTTTTAGGAAAGCCAGTAAAACTTATCAGCGGTATAAAATTGGCTACTTAAAGACTAAGGTTGTTGTGGAGCTGCAATAACAGTAGATTTAGGATTTGAGGAGATGTGGACTTTTTTAACCCACTAAATTAATTTGGGCTGATTTTTTAGTTTGGCTTTGGCTCAGGAGGTAAAGCGGGTTGTCTACTGTTTAGAAGGTTGAAGGTCTGATTCCCAGTTCTTCCATTTTGCTTCTGGGCATCATACTGACCCCTGACTTTCCCTTATGCATTTACTGAAGAGTGTGTGTGAAGAGTGTGTGTGAATGTTGGATAAGGTGATTAGGTTTAGATATGTATGTGTGTGTGACTGGGTGAATGAGGCTTTGAGTGCTCATTCAGAGTAGAAAAGTACTCCAGTCCATTTACAGAAAAATCATTCAAGTACAGCAGGCATTAGTTAGTAGAGGACAACATTCCTCTTTGAAGTGTCTGACTATGGCACACATCCTTATGAATGACCTATGAATGAGCTACACATGGCCTGACCTCTTGTGATCATATTACTTCTAGAAGTGCGTGTCTCAGCTGCTTATGCAAGGGGATCTATTGGTTTGCAAAGAGAAAGAAAATAGAATAACATAAAATATTGTGAATAAAACCTTGAAATAATTATCCACCAGTCTCTGTTTATCGAATTAATCATTTATAGTACAAACTGATATATGTATCAGTATGCATATGTATCAATTATAAATGAGACTCATTGCGTCTTTTTTTGCCCTTTTTGACCATTCTCACTCTCATTGATTATTTACTACACTTGTTTATTTTCTGCTGTTTTAATCCGTATTGTTTCTTTTATAACCTGTTCACTATTCATATTCCTCTGTAATTACTGACACGGTCTCCCGTCTTCTCTTTTCACGTTTTTCTGCGCTTCTAGGCTGTACGAGGGGAAGGAGCAGGAAGAGTTTGAGGAGTCGCTGAGGAGGCTTTTTGAGTCAATCAACAATCTGATGAGAACAGACTACACCACCACACTGTTGCTCAGGGTAATCACATACACTCGCCCTGCATCCACGCTTCACAACCTAGTGCACCTCATTACATTGTTTTTATATACTTTTCATCTTTATCCGAACCCTTTTTCCGCTTCTTCTGTTTTGCTAGATGTCCTGTCTCACTATGTCTCACCTTCGCCTCATGCTCCCACTTCTCAAAGTCTGTTTTTGACTGCATCAGTATTCTGCTGCTTAGTGTTTTCCTCTTATTCTCTGTGCCTACACGTACACAGACATACAAACAGAAAACATCAGAAAAAGTTAGGTAGAAAGACAAGAGCCCAGTGAAAAATGAAACACCCCCTTTAAACACATGTGGAGAATGCCTGTTTGATGGCAAAGTCACCTTGCACAGGGTTTCAAGACAGTAATTTAACACTATTTACTTGTTGCGTGTTGTGTGTGTGCATGTGTGTGTTGTTAGGTTGCTGCTCTGAAGTACCTGCCAACAGTCCTGCAAGATGTGGAGAAAGTATTTGATGCCAAGCTTCTCAGGTAAGCTTATCCTTAAACTCACAAACAGAGAGATATGCACACACTAGCACTTTATCTTTGGTCTTATTCGTTCACACCTACAGAGAGAATATATGAGTTTTTTCACCTCACGTTTCCCACTTGGCTTTATTCAGTGACCCTTATTCTTCTATTTCCTCCCATATTCCATCGTGGTTAAACCTTACCTCCTTTATCAGGTGATAAAAATCCCATCAAACTGACGTGGACACAAGGACAAACACTCCAACACACTCTGCTTCTCCTCTATGTGCCCCTGAGTGAAATGACAATTTTACCAGAACCATCAAACAAAAGCCATTTGAACCCCTTCTCTTTTATTCTCAGAGTCCTGAAGAACAAAATGACTTAGAAAGACTGGCATAACCTTTCCTTGACCCAACTGAAACATACAATCAGTGTGCATACTTCACCAGTTAGTATGTTTTCTTGTCTTGCCACATTCAGTTTTTAAACCTTCCCATCCTCATATATTGTCTTTTCACCTTTCTGTGACCTGTGGGGTTTTGTGTGTCCGTGTCTGAGCTCGTGGACTGTCTGCATCTGCCAGTTCAGTCCCTCTAGTGGCTCGATGTCAACACAGTGTCACAGAGGTGCTACCTTAAACACCTGCCTCACACACGAAGATGAGTGTTGAGGCAGAGTTAAAAGTCAGGGCATATATTATCATATTCTGTCTTTTGTCATTCATTTCCTTTTTTTATCTCCCAATCCCAAACCCCTTCACTCACCCTTTATATTCTGTCTTGTGCAATTCTTTACACACATATCCACAAACATATCGCAGCCATCTGAACTTGAAAGTAAAGTCCCCTTTGCATTCCTGATCAGGATCGCCTCGAGCAGAGTTTCCGCAAACAGGCCATGTGAATTACAATTACGCGGCTCGAGGTGGACATCAAAGCTTTGTATCGTGTCCTGTATAGTTACATTTCTACACCTTGTAAACGCACCTGTAGTGTGATCTGTGCAGTGGTACTAGTGAAGACATTGTCTGCTAAGGATGTGTTTTGTCACTCAGGGTATCTGCAGCATCTCCACAGAGTATGTAGTGACATTTTGGATTTTAATTAGACTCAGCCCAGATGATTAGTGGACTTCACTGATCCTCTGTACTTGAGCCTGCTCCTGTGCCAGCTTGGGGGACATCAAAAGTCACACAGACCTTTGTGTTATGTTTAGTTTGGGAGCAGAAGGTTTGCATTTTCTTCTTTTATGCCATTATTGAAAGTGCTGCAGCAGCCTGTGTGGCATAATTCAAGGAGACAGAGACAAAGTGAGATACAGACAAAAAATTGAGACCGAGGGTTTGCCATGTTCTGAGCGTTCAATCTTTCTAAGTGGCGTCAGGGCTTGCAACCAGCCCATTTAATTATTCCAAAATTGAATTTGGGGCAGAGGATAAGTCAAACCCATGTCTTCATTAAGATGTGTGCAGACTTTAGCTCATTTGTTTTCCATGCGGCATACACTGCTCTTCCCTGTGATACAACTGCTGCTTCGAGTGGTTGCATATTTTATATGTTAAAGGTGATGTGTCTAAACCAGGGATGGTTTTGCTTTTGATCTTTGAAGCAGTTACATTGTGTGAATTAGTAATGCTTGGTGAGATGTATAAAATGTGGAAAAATATAATTTCTGAATATTTTGTGTTCCCCATGAGATAATCTTCTATGATTATTCATTTTCCTCTGTGTCATTTTCTCTCCGCAGTCAGTTGCTGCATGACTTTTACTCCTGCATTCCTCCTGAGAAACTCCAGAAACAGAAGGTGGCCTCTATGACTGAAATTGTCAGCAGCCAGCTCTTCCAGAGACAAGGTGCATCATTTTTAACAGTTTTCAGCACTGAGTTACTAACAAACAGCAGACTTCATGCTGTGTAAAGAGCGAATCACAAATACACATATACATTCTGAGTGAAATCCTTCAAAATCCTATAAAGCATTCGTTGCTTCTTACTTAACAGTAGTGATCAAGTTAAAAGGTCTATGCTACAGTAAGTAATTCTAGCTCAGCAACTGTACCAGACTGCTTCTACTGTACTTTATGGCCAGTGAGGGTGCTCTTTGCACTAAAGGTTTGATCACAGTAATACAGAAAGGGTAATGTTCCATTTCCTGTGGGACAATCCAGTAAAGCACTTAGATTAAAAGCATTAGCCAAACGGTAAAGGACATAATGGGTTTGTGAGCATTTATTCGGTTTACTGCAATAAAGACACATGTTCTGATGAAGCCTTTTTTAGTTACATCAAACTGACAGTTTCATGAATTTTTCATAGTCGCCCGATTTTCTTATGAATTTCTTTGTCAATAGATTTCAAAATGAAAGAATAAGTCTAACTTAAACTCGTCAGCTGCCTTAGTTAGGATTTATTTTTGTGTTTAGCTTGTCAGGTAGTCTTCTCTGTGTGGCCTATTTTCTGTTGAGATCAAAGAAGCGACGCAGCTGTTTGATGCTGATATTATAACATATGATTTTAGTCCTGCTAAGCTCACCTACACTAACATTGCAATCAGCGCAATGGACACGAGTCAGATACCATCTTATTACAATCAGCACAAGTGGCACCGATTTTTGTATTTATACACTGACATCTTGAGGCTGGTGTGCAATGTGAGGGGATTTTGGTTTTGACATTCCAATGAACATCCCATGTCCAAAAGCTATATTGCAAACTGAAATGAGTTGACTGTTCACAGCTCACTAGGTGTTGGTGCTGAATAGAGAGAAAGATGAGTCCTAGACATATTAATGTCACGGGCGATGTCAGCTGTCTGCTAAAGGAAAAGTGATATTGTATGTTTGTAGCTGATAAAACTGGAAGCCCTTGCAGAACTCTGCAGTGTCACTGTCATTAATGTGTCACTTTTTACCCAATTCCTTCTCTATTCGTAAATGATTTTCACCAGATTTTAAATGCCTACCGGGGACACATCATTTTATCAGTATTGTTCCTTTAAAGTGTACCACACATCGATGATCGCATACTGTGCACTAGCCTCATTCAACCCCCTGCCTCTGCTCAGCCCTATTATGTCTGTCTAATTCGCTTGTAGTGGGCTGATAAGTGGTAAATTCCCCTACAGAGGTCTGCTCAATGATGGATAGAGTGATCCTATGTTGTGCTGCTGTATAATATAGACTCAATAAATGGGTCTATAATCAGACCTCTGCAGTAAAAACTGATTAACTGGAGGCAGACAGTGAGTGAGTGAGTTTGAAACTGATATCAGTCTTAGTGACACTGAGAAAAGCTAGATGACATGCTGGGAAAGACGTATTTGAATCACGAACATTGCTCCCTGTGAAGCATCTCTGAAGCATTCTCATACACAACCTGCAAATATATTTGTATGCATTGGTTTCAGAGTAGCTGAGACTGTGTCTGAGTGTGAGTGTGTTTGCGAATCTGTGTTTGTGCAGTGGTGTATGCTAAGTGGTTGTGTGGACTGCTTTGAATGTTGTTTTTGAATAGTCCGTTGCTGTCAGCTGAGTCGGTATTCAGTTGAGGATATGGTTCTTTGGTATTGATCCTGGGTTAGATGATTGATTCCACAGGGGATGATGTGACAGGTTTGGCCCTCTGGCTTGCTGTCAACATGCTCAGAGTCACACAAGCGATCAAAGTGAAAGCAAAGGCAGTGTAGGGGCATGATGGGGAGGAAAACAGAAAGTGTGATACAGAGAAAAAGAGCTAAGTTTTTGAGGGACAAAATACTGTCGATTGTGCAGTACAAAGTCCTCTAATTACTGCCATGTTTTCTAAACTGCAAATGTCTGTTTAGCTGGACGACGTTGAGATGGACTTAGGCAGAGGTAGTGGAGAGGCTAGTTAAAAGGAAAGGTTGAGGAAGAGATTTTTCAAGGAGCAGGGCAGAAAAAGGAGCATTTAACAAGCTGACTAGAAAGAAAGGATAGAGGGTGACATGATTATTGCTAAAGGATGGTCAGGCAGAGAAGGATAGCTAAAGAATGGTAAAGATGGATGACAGAGGAATAGGGAGGAGATATGGCTTGTTGGGAAAAAAGAGTTAAGCGCACCGTTGAATGGTAGTGTCAAGAGGAGAAAAAAATGGGATTAGGAGAGTATAAAAATGAAAAAAAGAGTTAGTGAGACCAGTAACTTCACTCGCGTTGCTATTAAACAGTCCAGAAATGATTAAAGTTTAAGCCCAGCTCACAATCAATATATCAGCAAATCTGCAAACTGTTGGTCAGTGATACCCTTTTTCCTCTGCTGCTTTCTTTTCCTCCATATTTTGGCACAACGCTTTCATTTATTCTGTCATTTATACACTGGCCCTTTCCATCTCGATCCCTGCCTCACCAAATGAGACCTGACACTCAGTCTAATTGAGATGCATTTTAGCATTGGGATGCTAATAAGGAGGCTTGTATGCTAGTGTGCCATTTATCCAGGATGCTGAAATATGTAGCTGAGCTGAATTATATATTTATAATACCTAATGGCCTGTGGTGTCCTATCACTGTGCTGCAATACATATTTAATAATCCCAACTGTCTGAGCAAACCTACCTACCTCACTCTCCAGGGAAAAATGTCACACTGCTGACACCACTTCAGTGTAAGAGTGGTCAGATGATGGGAAAGGATGGTGGGTGTGTGAGTGTATGAATGTGACAGGAGATCAGTTCTTGTTCATGTTTGACACTTAGTGGAAATGACCAGTCTGATGAGGTTTATTTTTTTATTATTATTATTTTTTTTATAAAACATAAAAGCTGGAATGCAAGTATGCTTTAAATTTAGCACAAAAAGAAAGGAAATTTGTGTTTGGTCAATGATTTATTTGCTGTAAAATGTTTCTTGGTAATAAGTCTTATACTGTTGTTTATTTTCCCTTAAATGGTCCCACACTGGTAAGAAAAATGCATTTGTGGGTTGAGCAGCAGACCCACCAGACAGGACTCTTGTTTGGTGTTGTTTATTCAGTCGGATGATTGAAGTCTGAAGAAACAATATTGAAAATGTAACAGTTTATTCATTTAACAAACGGGGGACCCCAATAGCACTTGGAAGAAGCATAGATGGTAACAACAGCCTGGCACCTCTCCATCATGCTGGTCACCAGTGCACACTGCAGTGGGATGGTATCCCATTCTTCATCTGTCGCAAGTCAGCCAATGCGCTTGTGTTGGTCACAGAATAAGCTGTTTGGCATTGGCAAGGAAGATTTGGCAAGTTTATCATTGGCACAACCTACATACTCTACTCTGCTGTTCAACCCACAAATGGATTCTTCTTACAAACGTGGGAGCACTTCATGGAAAAAACACAAGCTTTACACAAGTAGAAGAATCATTGTTATAACAGAGAAACAATTGATCAAACATTTCATTACTTTTTGCTCTAAGTCTAGTAGTTTTTAACTACCATACTGAAATACTTACGATACTTTTATGCACTGTTTTTGTATTCTGCACTTATTCTGCTAAATGCAGAAGTAAAGCATCAAACAGAGTGCATTATTTATGATGAAGACCAGTCAGATGGTCACATGTATTAATTTTTCTCCAGTCCTAGATCTAGTTGTGCGATTGTGTTCAACTTGCTGATGTTGTCTGTCCATGTGTGCTTAACTCTTTGAATCTATGGGCAGTGTTTGAAGGGATAGGGATTTTTTTTCTCCCACTCAGAAATACTCCTCTGATTTATTCAGCATACGCTCCTGGGATTAAGGGTCTTGGCAAGCACATAGTGTATCCACACACAAACATGCACAATGCGCACATACCCGTGCTGGCAGACGCGCATAGATAGACATGTGCATCCTGTCATATGGGTTAATCTGGTTTTGAGACAAAATTAAATTTACAAGGCGCATTATGGCTCAATTTAGTCAAATTATTATGCCATGAGGCAATCGCTGTGACAGATTGAGAGCATCAGCACTGATAAAGGAAAAAAAAAACAATGAGAGATCAGGGAGAGCAAAGAGCAGAGGAACAGGGGGATGAGCCTGTCATTTTGTTTGCCCACTCATTTCCCAAAGCTGGTCAAAGTCCTTTATTCCGTCCACTAACCTTCACGTTTTTTCTCAGCCAAACCTTCATTTCTCCAACTTCCTCCATCTTCTGTCTGCACAGCTTGAAACAAGTTATGTCATTCATATTGTAGTATATATTAAACAGATTAAATTAAGCCCATATATTTGAGTGTAATGGCCATCTGCGAAGAACAGTTACAGCTGGGTGTAAAAATAACCCATAGTGCAAAAACTCAGAAAGCTGTCTGTGCTATGGTGCCTAAAATGATACATTCTTTAATTTTAATGTATCAATCTCTACAAATGGCATGAATCTCATTACATAAATTGCTTGTATTATACTGCCATGCATTATACAGTATTGTTGGCAATGTTCACACCCGTGTCTATATTTCTCCTGCTGTGATTACTTAACGGATGCATGTCAGAGCTTGATGAATATGGAAGACTGATGTACTGTACAGTTATTATCGTCAGGGTTTAATCAGTGCTGAGTGATCTCAGTTGTTCCTACACTCTCTGTCAATCAGCATTAAGGACAGGTCACATTAGGCCTCAGTTATAGCTGAATGTGGTTTCATACTTCTGGTTTCTAAGAGAGGTTTGAGTGACAAAGTTGTCAAGGGACCAAGAAGGATCTGGCTACAACTCTGTCTTATTTAAAAGCAGTAGTGAAAAGATTATATAAGATATACGTAACAGGATTAACCTGCAAGTGAGCCGGTGTTTGAATGCACCAGAAAAAGCTGCGTTTCTTTCATTATCAAAACAGCTGTTTGAGCTTAAATGTTTAAATTTCACAGGCTTA